AGTTTAAATTATTATATAATATATATCTATCTTAGTTATTTATATAATAGTACTTATTCTCTAATATCTTTAAATAAGTATCTTATCTTATACTATATATCCTTTCTGACTTTTATAATTAAGAAAATTAATAAGGAGTTATCTTATCTAGAGAGTAAGAAATCTAAGGTAGAAGTAGAATTAGTAGTAGTATTTATATAAATTTCCAGACTATATAAAATATAAAAATAGCTTTATAAGAAAGGTATAGAGATACTAAAGAAAGGGCTAGATAATATAGAGGAGTTAGAAAAGAAGGAATAGAAAGAGATAGAAGAGAAAAGTTATTAGGAAGAACTAGAATAAGTATAGGTCCGGAAAGCTGAGCTTACTTTCTAAGTTTAATTATTATATACTATATAGATAGTTAACTTTTCTAACTTCTCCTTTAATTCTTCTATAGAGGATCTCTTTAGTAATATTACTTAAGATAAAGTTACTAATCCTTCTTCCTCTGGTAGTACTAATATATTAAATATTAGTACTTCTTTAGGTATTTAACTAGTTCCTATATATTATTATTTTTATTATAATCTTTCTATTTTACTAAATAAAATATTTATCTATTCTTAATCCTTTTATTTAGTATTTCCTAAGGTTTAAATTCTTCCTTATATACTTTAATTAGATAATCTTAATCTAATATATTTTTTAGTACTTTTTTAAGTAATAAAATATAAAAAACTGGGTAGATATATATTATATCTAGTAGTAAAAGTTTATAGTTAGTATCTAATTTTTTCTTAATAATTTTAAATAGTTTAAGTTTTTTATAATCTAATTTATTACTTAGTTTTATTATTATAATATTTTTCCAGAATAAATATACTTTATCTCTCTCCTCTAAGATTAGTTCTTTTAATCTATTTTTATTATAATATTTCTTTATTCTTTATTAAATAAATTCTAATTCTATTTTTATTTCTATATATAGTAAGTATAATATTTCTTTTATAAATATAGCAGTTAGTATATTTAATCTATTAAATTCTAGTTAGTTCTGAAATTATAGTTTATAATTATAATTTATATATATAGGTATAAGCTGGGTTAATTCTTATACTGAGCTATTATATATAATCTATACTATAGGTAATAGTTATACCTAATTATCTTATTTGTAATTAATATATACTTATAGGTATTATTCTAGAGTCTGATTTAATTATTCTATTTAATTATTACTTTATAGGTAGTAAGCTATTAAAAGCTTATACTTAGTATCTATTTATACTATAAGTAATTATTAAAACTTAGAGGTAAATATTATTCCTCTATCTGATATAATCTTATTAGGTAATCTATAGTAACTAACTATATATTATAGAAACTAGTATATAAGATCTTCTATAGAGCTTACTTTTCTATATAGAATAAAATATCTATACTTTATAAGTCTATTAATAATTATTAAAATACTATTATACTCTACTCTAGTTATTAGTTCTTTTAATAGTAGTAGTTTAATAATATAATTAAAGGATACTAATTACTATAGTTATTCTAGTACTAGAACTGGTTTAAGTTCTCTGTATAGTTTATATCTTATAGACTTAATTTATATATAAATATTATATTCTGAAACTATAGTCTATATTTCTTTTTATAGGCCTGGGTAATTATAGTATTATTTAATCCTATTAAATATTTTCTTAACTTCTTAATATCCTAAGAGTAGGTATTTATAGATTTCTTTAATAAATACTATTTTAGTATCTTATTTTAATTTTTTTAAGCTAGGTATAGTATCTATCTAGACCTTAGTATATACTATTTCTTTAAATATAGCTCCTAAGGTTCCCTATACTAAGTATTTAGTATTATTTATTATAAATAACTATTTATTTATCTTAGGTATAGCTTATTTATATTTGGATTTATAGTTAAGAGTATTAGCTCTTCTATTTTCTGATCTCTTTTAATATATAATTTTATAGTTAAACTAAGATAAGTATTCTATATAGTGAATTTATTTTCTATTCAGTTACTAAGTTATAGTAAAATACTGAATATTCTTATAATCTGTATATACCTTAACCTTATATATTATTCCTAAGTAGTAGTATTTAAATTCTTTAAATATATATATAATAACTATAAATTCTTTATTATAGATAGGGTAATTAAGTTCTATACTATATAGTTTCTTTAAAAAGAATACTATAGGGTATAACCTACCTTTATTATCTCTTTAGCTAATTTATATACTAATTATAAAGTCTAAAGTATCTATTTTAAGTTCTACTTCCTTTATAGGGTTAAATATCTATAGTATAGGTTCTAAAAGTATCTAATTCTTAATTATATTAAAGGCTTTTTATTATTTCTTATCCTATTAGAATTTAATTTCTTTTTTTATAGTATTATATAAGGGTAAGATAATTTTTCTATAGTTCTTAATAAATTATTAATAGTAGTTAGTAAAACTAAGAAAGGCTTATACTTTCTTAATATTATTTAGTTTCTTCTAATCTCTTACTATAGTAACCTTATCTTTTTCTATTTATATCTTATTTAATTAAATAGTATATCCTAGGAAATTAACTTCCTGGATATAGAAATAGCTTTTCTCTGGTTCTATTAATAATTTTATATCTTCTAATTTAACTAGGACTTTATATATATATTTCTTATATATCTTTAGGTTATTAAAGAAGATTAAAATATTATTAAGATATATAATTATAAAGATATTAAGATATTCTCAGAGTACTTAATTAATTATTTATTAAAATATTATAAGTATATTTATTAGTTCGAAGGGTATAATAAGATATTTATAGAGATTGAACTTTATTCTAAATACTATTTTCTATTTATCTCCTTCCTTTATTTATATTAGGTTATAAGCTCCCTTAAGATCTAATATAGTAAACTACTATTTACCCTATAACTAATCTCTGAGTTCTATAATTAGTAGTAAGGGTATCCTATCTTTATATATAATACTATTAAGCTATTAGTAGTCTATAACTAGTTATAGTTTCCTATTCTTTTTTAGTATAAATATTATAGGGTATTCTATAGATAAAGTTAATAGTTATATATAGCCTTTTACTAATATATTATTAATATATTCGCAGAATATTTATAGCTAAGGTTCTATAAGGTTATAAAGTTTATAAAAGGCTAGCTTTCCTTCTTTAATAATAGATATTTTATAATCCTACTAGCTATATTCTAATAAGCTAGTTTCTAGGGTTTCTCTAAATAATCTATTATAGATTTAGTATTATTCTAGAATATTCTTTAATCTTTTATCTTCTAATACCTTTTATTCTAAGTATTACCTTCTAGCTTCCTTATACTATAAGTTAAACTTAAAGTTATAGTTATATATCTATTAAGATATTATCCTTATCTAATTAATTAAATTAATATTTAGTAGTTCCTTAACCTTCTGTATTTAGATGAGGGTTCTTATTATTTATTATAACTCCTAATAGGATATTATTATTATTTTACCAGGTTATAGTACTATTAAGGCTTCTACTACTATATCTACTTATTATTATAAGTTATTAGTTATTTTTATAGTAGTATCTTTAGATATTAAAAAATAAATA